CCCAAATCAATCCAAAAGATCAAGGCCCAAAACAGCTGATGGCGGTGAGTATACGTTAATGGTTAGGGATCTAGATGTTGAGCAAGAGAGAGCTCGAGAAAACATACGGGCTGAGACACTAATTCCAGTGCCCATTGAGCTGGATGACTCTACGGGATTGACCGAGGTAACAGTTCAGCCTGCTCCTGAAGAAACGAATATGCAGCACGAGACTGAGACAGTAATTGAGCCAGTAATTGAGACAGCAGCGGAACCAATAGTTGAGACAGTAGCTGAGAAGGAGAAACCTCACGTGATTGGGAAGAAAATATCTCTTGCACCATTCCCGCAAAGGTTGGCCAAGCATCAAAAGGAGGAGCAGTACAAAAAGTTCCTAGAGATGCTCAAACAAATCCAGATAAACATTCCATTGATTGAAGCTCTAAAGGAGATGCCAGGATATGCTAAAATGATGAAGCACTTAATGTCTCGGAAGTTTGACTTTCAAGACTTGTCGACGGTGACCCTTACTCAGACATGTAGTGCAGTGGTATCTAGACCTGTTGCTGAAAAGCTATCTGATCCAGGTAGTTTTACAATTCCATGCACCATTGGGAACTATGCCTTTGCTAAGGCACCTTTGTGATTTAGGGGCCAGCATTAATCTCATGCCCCTGGTCATTTATAAGAGGTTAGGCATTGGCAGAGCTCGACCTACTTCTATGTTATTGCAGCTGGCTGACAGGACTGTTAAGCGTCCATTTGGGATTCTTGATGATGTGCTTATTCAGGTGGGGAAATTCGTGTTCCCTGCAGATTTTGTAATCTTGGATTGCAAAGTGGATGAAGAAATTCCCATAATTCTAGGACGACCCTTTTTGGCCACGGGGAGAGCTTTGATCGATTGCGAGACCGGGGAGCTTAAGATGAGGCTCAATGATGAGGAAATTATATTCAATGTGCAGAAATCGATGAGGCGACCAAGTGAGTTCGCAAATTGTTCCTTATTGATGCAATAGATGTAATTGTAGAGGCTGATGACGAGGCGTTTGACGGTTGAGGATCCCCTCGCTGCATGCTTGACAAATTTGGATGAAGTGAATGGTGAGGATTTGGCAGAATGGGTGTTGGCACTGGAAGGTAAAGGGTTCTGGGAGAGAAATCTGGAGTTTGAGCCCTTGCACTTAGAAAAGAGAGAGACCCCTCCAGCTAAACC